TAACCCTCGCCACCACCCGCAAGAGGACTGTCGTCACTAGGCTTTTTATGAACCCGGCTCCGGTTTTCATAGTGCGGAAACTCTCAGGATTCCAGGACTTGCACAATATTTGATTCAACGTTTTTCTTTGCTCATGTCACTCCATGGTTTTAGGGATTTGCTGAATGATCAGCAGGACCATACTGTAGCGAACGCTTGGGGGGAAAAATCTTTTTGTGTGAACAGTTTCCAGTTCCGCTCTGTGACCTGGGTTTGATCCTGAAAACTGTGTCTTTGTTGAGTAGAAAAGGGGCTGAGCTGTGAGTGAAAAGAGGGGATTTAAGATTTAAGTGTGCTCAATACCTCACACTGTTGCTGACGGCGATAAGGCCGTGCTGCACAGCGGAGCAGGGGACTCTCAGTGCACTGCTGTGTTGATTGGTTAATGATCCTGTCTGGAGTTGTGATACCAAGGGATCACAGCTGACCCAGTGGGCCTTCAGCTCGAAACCATTAAGGCTTTAGGGACAATAACATCATATCAGGCTTGATATTAAGCTTTCACTTGACCCTTGACCCTCAGGGGTGTATTTTAATTATTTGAATCCAAGACAGCGATGTGTAGTTTTCACTAGTAGATGTCCAAGTACAATCCAGAAGCGTTGCCGCTGCTATCATCACCATAATATAGCAAACATAACCAGTCAATTTATTTAAGGCTTTGATCAGCAAATATTTCCACATCGGCAGGTATTAATTTGTCATTGATGTGTTGGTTGATTTTACAGCTTTCACCACTCGTGCCAAACTCTTGTTACTAGTCTGATGGTTAATTATATATCAAGTATTGCTGGTTTTCAGTAATGGGACGGGTGGAGTGCAGGCGGATCACTTGTCATGACTGTGCATTAAGCAGTAATCCACTCTGTACACCCGCACATTTAGGTTTACGGTACAGTAGAGAGCGCTCATGCTGAATTCCAATCGCCCACAGCCGCTGACAACATGACATTCCTATTGAGGCCCATCTGCTCTCACCGTGTCCATTTCTGAAGCACAGAGCATCTTCATTCTGTACATGTGTGCACTGTGGCGTACGACGGTGCCGTTTATACAGTTGGCCTGTTGCAGAATGGACCGAGTATTGCAGTTGAGTGTTGGCAAGTTCTGTGGGATGCAGTATCTTCATGGGTGCCCTGCATTGACACTTTACAGGCCTTTTCTAAACATATTATTAAATGCACCAATCAGCCATAATATTATGACTACCTGCTGTCTGGGAGATGCTCTGATCCGGTCGTCAGCCATCACAGTTTGGCCTTTGTCAAAGTCACTCAGATCCTTACGCTGCACATTGTTCCTGCTTCCAACACATCGGTTTTGAGGACTGAACCTTCACTTGCTGCCCCCACACTGACAGGTGCCACTGTAACAAGATAGTTGGTGTCATTCACTTCACCTCTCAGTGGTCGTAATGTTATGGCTGATCGGTGTATGTGCATTGTGAATATACTGTACACTTAAGCATTTTAGTCCCTGGCTTTTAGCCTTGTTATAGAAAAGCTCAGCACAATGTTGACACAGAGGCTTAATCGTGAAGGCGGGTTTTGCAGGCAGGATATTAGCCAAGCTGTTTGTTCTGCCAGCTTGAATAGATGTGTTGTTTTGTCTGTCTACAGTATCTGCTCTGTGTCGGTGACAGACTCGACCGGCATACTGTACATTCTGGTGGAGGCAGGAGTGGGATGATGGGCAACTGAATTCTGAACAAAGGCAGGTTCAGCTGGAGGGAAGACCCGGTTTCTCCAGAAAAGTCCATGTTTCACAAAGATTCAGTGAAAGAATTTTGAACTCAGTAACATGTTTTGAAGTTTTCCCTGCCACACAAGGTTCATGATCTGCTATTCATGAAATAAAAAAAAAAAGTAGAGCTTCCAGACTCGGAATAAGTTTCCTGCCCTTTCCTCACCATGTAGGAGCGCCTCAACATAGTATGACCTCTGTGTTGGGAGGCTGTATGTTGATGGGGAAGGGAGAAATGCGGTGGGTGGCACAGAAGTCTGTGTACTGCATAAACTTTCTTTTGTGTGGCTGGTTCTAGTCCTGTGCTGCCACACTTTGTTTATGGGTGAGTAATAGGCATATGGTAGCACGCCACCTGGCAAAGTGTCAGTATCCTGTCAGGCTAAACTACTACTACTGTGAAATGTGGATGAAATAGCCTCACCAAATGAAAATCATTAGAGGGTCACATGAGATCTCTGACATATGCAGTGATCTGGTTTGCCTTTCTACTACAGTAATGTATTATACAGTGGGTAGTCACTCACTCGCTGTCTGTCTAGCTGCCATCCTAATGGCGAATTGAACTAATCCTGTTAAACGTGTCAGTAGGTAGATGTACAGTATTTGTTTGACCAAGTCCAAGTGTGCTGATACTGATGTTTCTGCCAGGAGGTGGCAGCAGCAGCACTGTACACATGCCACCCATCAGCACACACACACACACACACACACACACACACACACCAGAACAAGCACCACAAGCTCAGCACATCACTGATCAGCTCATGGATCAGCTTCATTTGTCTCAGGTTAATGTGACAGCCACATTTGGAGATATTTACCATATTTTTTGCAGTTATTTGCGAACCTGCGCCTTCAAAGAGTCAACCCTTTAGAGAATCGGCCCCTCATGACCACACAGTTCTAAAACTTCATCCATTTTGGTTCTGCACATCTGCAGTGAAGTTGTGTGCATTGTTTGAAGCACATGAAAATCCACTGCAACAAAAGAAACTTGGTATCTCAGGGCTGATCTGATTCACACTTGCCAGATTCTGCAGCTTCAACTGGTGCAGAAACCTGTAACAAAGATTTGAAATGCATCTCAACTTCAAAAAGTTAAATTATTTCAGAGTTCTTTCTGCCATTTGATTTTGGTTATATCAGACAAATATGAACGAAATGCTATGGCCTCTTGCTGTTTGCAAAGAAAAGCTTCTAAGCTTGAATCATATATATATATATATATTTAACAATCAAAGCAACATTGTGCTTTGGCCGAAGTTTATTCAGTTGGAGTCAGGTTTTTCTTGAAGGATGGGGGTGGAGGCACTATTCTATTAAAATATAGCCCACAGCCACCACACCCTCACTTCAAGCCCAGGCACTGTACATATGCACTGAGGGCACAGAGAGAGAGACTGGTGTGGACTGTGTTGTGATCATGTTACCACCCGTTCTCTGGGAGATCACAGATTGAAATGCAAAGCAGCGATCCCTCCTCGGACATCCTGCTATCTGTCTGTCTGGGCCTATTGATGACCTGCTTTATGCTAATCAATACATGCAGTGAGGACAGTTGGCTTCATGTGCATGCGTTAGTAGTGGAAAGGCTCTGTGCTTTGTTTTAGCTTTGTTTTGTCATGTAGCGCTAGCTATTGGGGAGCTGGTGGAAACTGTGGTCAGAGCATTATTGGCTTAAAATCCTCTGTTCTTGGGGACGGCGCCCCAACTTTTACATCTGGGTTTTATGTTACTTCCCTTTCCCGTAGCGAGCCGGGGCATAACAAGAGGAACCAAACACCAAAATTGTATGAATTTTCTGACACTGGCACAGCACCGTGTACTCGGTCCATGGCACAAGCCTGTTCCCCTGATACGTTTTATCACCTTTATCTCTGTCTTCATCTCCCTCTCTGCTCTCCCTCTGTTGTTTCTGTTCTTTCTTGGTATCTTCCGTGTCTGAGCGTGCAGAGTACACACACAACCGATATTTGTCTGGTTATTAGTATTGAAATGCTTGACAGCAAATTTAAAAAAAAAACAAATCCCAGATCTGCTTAAGCTGTATGTAAACAAAGCCAGTAATGAGGAAATGGTGTCCCAGCAAAGGCAACATGCTCCAGATATCGATTCTGTCTGTAGGGGTTTTCTGATTTATTAGTCTCAAATTAGAGTACTGTTGTTGGCCCATTTTGTTAGCACGTTCATGCTAAACTGCAGGTGTCCTTTTGCTTTATCCTAATTGTTTGGGATTGTTAGGGATTTCTTTTAAAATTTTAGCTCTTTTATTATTACATGTGCTCATTTGGCTTAACTGCTTGGATATAGATGAGCATTTCATTCATACAGGAAATCTAGAATTGTGTGATACTAGAGCTCTACATTAGCTGCTACAGAATGAGAGAAGAGACTTGGAGATGTGTCAGTAACTGTAGTACACCAGTTTGAAAATTTTGGAACTATGCTTATTGACTTTCTTGCTGAGAGTTAGCTAAGATGGTTGCAACCACTCATAGGTCTGGATGCAAAGGGTGAACTGTTTCTGTTTACTGTTATGAATTGGCCTGTGTCCATGTGTGTGTGTGTGTGTGTGTGTGTGTGTGTGTGTATAACCAGTCATGCATTCGACCTGTGCTACTGTGTTTGATCCTACAGATACTTACATGAAGTAGCTCCCTTCACATCCACACTCCCAGCCTCTTAATGTTTTGACAGCTGGTTCTGATAGAGGACTATTTTAAGGCGGCGGGTGGGTATATTTGTTCCTGTCTCGCTGCTGTCACGTATATGAATAAGCAGTTTGCCCTGCATGCCTGGTTTGATAGGCTGCGCTTGGCGTAGTCCGGGCGGCCTCTGTCGGACCACTGCTATAGACGTGATTTACATGGTGCTGAGACGTTCTGCACACTCTAAACACAGAGCTAATCTTTTGAAAGCTTTGGCTTTTTAAATTCTAAACACACTCAGTGATACGCAGATTTTATTAATCTTTTGTTTATATGATGTTTCCACATTATTTGCACACACAACATTTTACTTTTGCCCCAGTCTAATCCACTGGATTGGTGGTGTCACCGTTACTGGACTTTTTAAGTAAAGCTTGGGGTCTGAGAGCTTTTCCTTTGTGTGTGTGTGTGTGTGTGTGTGTGTGTGTTATTTAATAATTTCACCTATTTATTATTTTGGTGGTATATGTTTGCTGATATTGATTTTATTGTTTTTCTGTCCTGCAGGACCTGCACACCATCTACTGCCACCTCTATCACATGGACGTCCTCTCTCACCTTAGGGAGCATCAGCTCAGGTAAGTCAGTTCTGCTTTTAAATGAGGTGTAAATCACAGCATCAGGTTACCAGATTCATTTTAGAGTAGCCTATAGGCCTACTTTCTGCATGAATTGTTGCGCGTGACACACCCTACTTGAACAGGTCTCAGAGTGCTTAGAGTTTTTTGCCTTTTGCCCCAGGTTGTTACTCCACCCTGGCTTTATCAGTCACAGGACATTCATGCCACGGTGCTATTCAGATTTTCATACCGAGCATGTTTGAAATGTTTAGCTTGAAGTCAGGAATGTGGTGTTTGCTAGTCTGGATCAGTTGAGCAGGTGAAAACAGGAGTGTTCACATCAAAATGAGTTGTGAACCTTCTAATCACGCAGAGGCAGGTGTAGAATCCTATAGACAGATGTTTCTTGTGCTTTGTAAATGAATGATAAAGTTATGGTAACCTCTGTTCAGTTATCAAGGCACAGAACTTGTGAGTCTCCCGATTCTGTCTGGTTGAGTCCAGTTGACCAAATGCAAAGACAAAGCAAAACTCCAAAACCAAGGAAAATGAAATGCTGGTTGGTAGTGGGATGTCTTAACCCCCTGAGCTGACCGACATAATGACGGCGGCCAAGATGGAAAAGCGTCTTGGCTTTTGAGAAACAGCTCAGGATGAACATGCAATAGAATGTCAGTGGTAAAAACAGTACTAAGGACTGTTAGGTATTGTTAGTCAGATAGATATTGGTTAGATGCTTGATGTATTAGAAATGTTTAGAGTAGACAGGATGTCTAGCTCAGACTGTTAAATGCTTAGTCATTCTCATGAGTTACTGCAGGTTGCTTATGGTCAAGGATAATTAGATAGAAAGTTGATGACTGTTAGAAGACAGGATGTTTTAATATTATTATTAAGATGTGTATAACTGTTGTCATAGCCATAATATTTTCTTATGTTTAATGTCATGACATCACTAGAGGTCATGTTAGAATGTTTTTAGCTACACACCACTTAATCAACAGACAATCACACATTGATTTTCTTCATGTTTTGACTACTGCTCTGGCCAGCTGCAAAGCTGGCACCGGGAGACGTCACGGTGCCGTCTCTCTCTGTAGGATGGGGTTAGCCCGAAGTGATATAAGGTATAGGCCTGTTGTGGTTCAGGGTCTTTCATCTTTCAGCTGCCTGCGTGCATGTTGGAGGTGCAAGATACCTGAGTGTGTAGTGTTAATTTTTACCTGTGTTCATTAAATAAATCAGCACTGTTTTGAAGTTACTTGGACTGCCTCGTCTCTCAGAGTCAGTATGGTTGAAAGTACGGGGTACAACAGGACATTTTTGGAGACAGAACGTTAACAGTGTCTTTCTCTCTCAGGTCGATGTGTACCTCAGCCAGGTATGAGAGACTCGAGGCTAACCATGTCCTGTTCTAGTAAGTACATGCTCTGCTATATTCTCCTGTACACTCTCTCCTTTTTTAATCGTATATCTGCTGAAGATAGTTAGTTTTATTCAGATACTTATTTTAATTCTCTCCAATTACCCAATTGAAATTTCACAATGCAATGCTTCATGGAAAAATAAAAGTAGAAGAATGAGACTGAAAGTGTTTTCTCTGTCTCTCTGTCTGTCGCAGCCCAGACAGCGTCGCTACCTGTTGGTACATCCTGCTCTCTGGATCAGTCTTCGTCAAGGAGCACATGTACCTGGCAAGGTGCTGGTATGTAAAAATCACATTCACACACACACGGTGTACAGTGGGAGGAGGTGGGATTGGCCTGATGTTACATGTGAAGCTACGCTATTTTGTCATCTTGTCAGAAGGAGAGTGAATTTGTATGTGTGCTCATTTGTAGCATGATTAGGGAGCTTTACCTGACGTGGGGGAATGGTGGGTGTATACTGTATATACACACTCATATATAACACTTGTGTGATTTAGTGCCATGTTGGAAAACCTGAAGAGATTTGTAGGTTACTGTGATATGCATGTCCTTCTGTTTTTTTTTTTTTTGGTCAATATGTGGTAAATGTGGCATTGTACCTCAAATGATACCCAGAGCTTTGACTTATTTTTTATCTTTTTAAGTTGAAAAACAAGTTTAAACAGGTTTTGCAGGTAGTGAAACAGGAACATGAAATTTCTCCGGGAATATATAAGAGTGACCTCCTGGAGTCTCAGCTTAATGCCTGACATGTTTATGCTGATGAGGCTTCATCATCTTGTTTTGGAGGGTCCCGTTTGTTTTATTAGGTTGAATTATACTAAAATGTGTCCACTGTGGGCAGATATGTAAAATAAGCGAATGCAGAAAAAGGTCAAATTGTGTTGCACATGTATGAATCAACTGTTGATGAAGTTTTATGATTTATATATAACTGACTACAATGCAAGGTCAGATTTCAGATTTGTTGGAAGTAAAATTAGCCAGTATTGGAGGTTGAAATGAAACGGTTAGGAATCTTCCTGTCATTGTTGGTGAGAATCTTAGATTCTTGGGTGGAGATTAGTCAAAATACACCCCCAAAATAAATAAATAAAATACCTTAAAGGGACATGTCACACCTGTTTAAACACTGGCTAATATAATGGGGAAAGTTGTGGCAGGCATTGCTTGAGTTCCGCCCTCAGCGCTAATGTTTACCTTCCTTCTGTTGTTGTAGTTGGACTGAAACAGAAGCATAGCATGCAAGTGGAAAGGAGGGGCCAGGTCCCTTCTGTGCTGTTATGTCTACATAAAAAAATGATGGCCTTGTGGCCGAGAACTACCCCGTTATAGGGGTTTGTCAGAAATTCAGAATGATGGTTCAAGTACGGTCTCAACCCCTATCACATGTTCACACTGGGACTCCTTATTGAGATGCATCCCAAACAGGAAAACAGGAGTTTAATACTTTCTGGAAAAGAAGTGTTTTGTAATTCACTCTGTCCAGTAATGAGGAGGTAGTAATGAAGTAATTACAACCTTAATGCAGCAGCTGCTTGTCAACCCACCTTTTCAGGCTTCATGTTGCTGTGATAGGAAGGTAGTTTATCCAGCAACAACGACACAAAAGACCAACGGACCAGTTCTAGCAGATAGCGGTAATCTCAGGGCAGCTGGAATTGTGAGTGTGTGAGGGTGTGTGTGTTGTGTGCGTGCATTTTCATTCCAGTGTGTCAGTTGATAACATGGTGTGGGGGAAGGTTTGTGCCTTGCAAAGGACTGCAGGGTGTGTGTCTCTATATGTTGGAGTAGTCACAGCAGCAGGAGGACTTACAAAGGGCTGCTAACGGGGAGTGTTGTGCTTAAATGTGTGTGTCTGGAATGCGGAACCCCTGGCAGAACAGCGACTGGCCATGTGTTCCCGAGCAGCCTGGCTGCCTGGAGCAGGCAGGAAATGAGCAGGCTACACACAGTCGCACACACTCACAACACTGACACACACCTCCCCAGTGGACAGACAGGACAGAGTAGAGCAGGAGGGAACATACACACACACACACACACACACACACACTCCTCCCTCAGTTAAAGACAAACTAAAAGGCTGACAGCCACCTACTTCTGCATTCTGAGGAAACTTTGACTCATGTAAACTGGAGTACAAAAACAAACTTGGACCTAAACCTGGAATATTTTCCTCCTTTTCATTGTGGATAATATGCTGGATATCATTACATTTACAAGGAATCCAAACAATCGGACCCCCAGAATTCCTGTTGCTGGTATGTGATCTTAAACTTTTTGTTCCTCTTTCATTCTTGGTTGTATCTGTTAATCTGTTAGTTTAGCCACAATTGCGACTCCAGGTTAATTCACTTGAGATTTTTCAAAACTCACTCTCTCGTTCTCTGTATATTCTTCAACCTAGCGTACTCCATGTCCTACTTGCCAACATTTAACCAACTGGATGGCCAGGAATTCCCCACGGCACTGTGGTAGGAAAGCTTAGCACTGCTGGGCCCCAGAGCTTTGAGAAACACGCTGTTTCTCTTCCTTTTTGCACTGTTTATCATAAAGAGAAGCAGACTTCTCACATGACCGAAACAGGCTAGTGAGGTTGTTAAGTTGTTAATGATGCAGTGAGTGAGTGCACTGGTGTTGTCTGGTGTTAGCTAGACAACACTATATTGTCTTTGATATCTTGGATGCTGGACATGTTTGAAGCTCCAGTACAACACTGACAGCACTGCTCATTTGTCATCTGATTCCTCAGATTTCCTGGGAACTCGCTGAAACAGCAAGATAATGTATGATAGTGTGCAGCAAATGTATGTTCAGTCAAGTGTGAACATTAATCTCTCTCAAAGCTATGCGGATACTTGAACTCAGAGCCGCTGCAGCTGTTGATCTCTTGCTGAAGTTTGAACAAGCCCCTGAACTGCTATTTTGCAAATGAATCGTAATGGTTCTGAATCGCCCACCGCATCTTTCATGGAGTCTGGCTGGCAGTGTTTTGTGTGCGTCTCTGCTGGTGGTCTGTCTGTAGTGCTGACTGCTGGCCAGCTTGCCAGTCTTCTTTAGTGGTCAGCATTAACCAACCAAACCCTAAAACAGAAAAGAAGAACTGCAGAGAGAACTGAAAATAATGTCTGAGTCAGACTCTGATCTGTGGTTTTCTTACTTTTTTTTAACTTTCGCTCATCACTGGTGGCAAATGGGCCCTCTGTTTAGGTTTGATTTTTGACCGAAACCATCTCTAACTTTGACACTCTCAAAGTACACTGATCAGCAACACCCTATCACTTTGGAAGTAAAGCTCTTGCTGGTGCCAAAAGGAAACCTTTCTAGAAGATCAGTTAAAGCAACGATACAGTTCATTCGTAGGATGTTTTGCAGATGACGACCGAGTTCTTTCTCACTCAAACTGGACTTGCTGCATTGTATTTCATGTCCCACTAGTGCCTGAAGTGCCACATTACCAAATGTGTGCCTGCTAACTGGTTCAACCATAGGTACTTTGGTGATTTCCAGTTGCAGCAGATTTATAACAAGTGACGTCCAGAAAACAAAAAAGTTATACATCAAATATGTATGAGGAAGAAGTGATTGTGTTCCTTCAATTCCTAATATATTTACAGATCTTTCCCTGTCCTTTAGCAAGACATTTAAAGCTCCAGAGTTGCGTCTTCTAATTCAAAATGCACGTGATTTTTCTTCTAAATGTATGAGTTGACTCCAACAAGCCTGGGCCTGCTGTAACTTTCAAACCCAGACATAAACAGCACTCATTGGCTCACAAATCAAAGCCTATTTTAATATTTATAAAAACCATATTCTCATTTTCGATAGCTCCCCTTACTAATATAACCATTTTTCACTCTTGGTCACATTTCCCGGGCTTTCCAAACACCTCATGGTGTGTGTGTGGCCTCAGTTTCTGTGCCAGCTGTCCTGGTTTATTGCCCAGGGCACTGCAGCTGTCACTGGA